TTTTTAAGTTTGTTGGAGGGTAAAAATCAATAAGAACTGGGCTGATGAAATAAAACACCCTAATGTAAATGCCCTTAAAATATTTATACATTTTTTTTATCAATTAAATTCGTAGAAAATAATTGGTTTGATGACAAACCAAATGTTTGGATCTTTAAAGTACCAGTGTATCGTATTTAAATTATCATTACCTAAGTAAAGAACAAGACTAATGGTAACATTTTTTTTTTTTTATTGTACTTAAGATAAACTTATTTTTCACATACACTTTTAATTAAATGAAAACATCGGTCATTGGTTCTTTGGTCAAAATTTTAACTAATTTGTAGGAAATTGTACAATATTTTCTTTGCGAGAAAAACAGCTGTCAATAATTTGTAATTTGAGAATATCTTAAAATGCGTAAAACAAATTGTCGCATAAAAATGTGTGACGTCTTTTAGTATTTAATAATAGTAACGCGTAATTTATTAACTTCAACATTCACATGATGCACCAAGGAATACATAATACATATATATATTTTCCTAATAAATAATATTTCGCTCTGTGCTAACTAATAATTATATTTTCATTTTATGAATGAATCCAGTGCAACAATTGATAAGACAAACCGGTTTTTGCAATGTTTATTTATATCAACAACAAGATGTTCAAGCGTGGCGATTGATAATATTACGCAGACTTTCGTTCTACGTTACCTAGCCGGTATACACGTAGTATTTTAATTCGATAAATTACTTGCTATTATAACACAACATGCAAACTGGTATTTGTAAATATGCTTAATGTGCAGATACCTCACTAAAAACTAAGCTTCCCATTACGTGCAATGGTCATATGGTGCACTATTCGTAGCAATAGACCATATACAATGTTATTTCTAGTGAGCAGTGACCGAGTCTTTGTCACCAACAAATCGACACTAAGCAAACAGACATTGTAGTTTTTTTCTGCTCCGGGTAATGCACATGCAAAATGTTTAACTTTTTTATTACGGTCAGCGATAATTTTACAAGTGTTTTATATTACCACAATTAAAAAGAACAACACAATCACTTGGAGTCGAAAAATAATTCAATATACTGTAACTTATGTCTTAATACTTGCATTATTTCCGACGATTAACTTACATTTGTATTACCAAGTATTATTAGTATTATTTTGTGTTGTATGATAAACACAATTTTTTCTTTGAAATGTAACTTCTATTTAGATTATTTTCTTTAAATATACGGTGCTTATTCAACCGCAGCGTCTTTAATGCATTTGGAAAATGTATCATTTTTTTACAATAGATTCAAAACACAATTTCTTCTTTATATATAAACATATATTTACACCAATTCCACGGCACTGTACGTTTATTTCAAAAAACAAGAGAAAGTTGCAATTTTGAAAACATTTTTTTTTTTTATTTTAACACGTAACACTTACAATCGATACAATTGCAATGTTAAATACGTGTTCACAACTCGCAAGCGTCATCGATTTACTTCCTATGCGATTTGAAGAATTAAAATAATACTCAATAAGCATATTTTTTGACATTGTTTTTTCTGTCTGTTTAAATTTTGATCGAGTTACTTAACAATTTGAAAAGGTAAGCGCTAAAAACTGCAGTAACTCTTGTGAATACAATAGTACAGCTGGTATTTTATTCGGATGCATTTAAACACCGTTTAGTTGTTCGTTCCACTGAACAATCTCTGGATTTTTATTTTAATAACTACATACAAAAAGAAACATAAATATTGATAATAACCAATCAGAGTTTAAACATTATAATGAAGTAATTTTTTAAACCATACAGGGACGCACTTTTGAACATTTGATTCCGTCTTTTCTGTGAACAATTAAATAATAAAGAATGATTATTTTCTCATAAACCACTCGAATTAATCGAAAAATAAAAAAAATTGTTTGTAATTTCTTTTAATTGCATGCTTTTCTCAATTTATGGATCATGTAATTTTTTTTATGTTTATCCTTTATACCTTATAAGAGTGTTGGCTTTATTTTTTCAAATTGTAGCCTACATAATTAATTAACTTATTTATTAGATAATGATCTAATAAAGAAAATTATTGGTCGACAACAACTTTTTGACCAGTATTTTAGAAGTTATTAATAATTTAAAGTTATGGACTGTAGGTGAGGCACGGTTAGGTGCTACAATTTTTATCATTAAACATCTCTCGACCTGACTACTGTCTTGCCGCCTAACTATAAACATGTTTATAACATCTGAAATATTGGCCCATAAGTCATTACAAAAAGTTATTATTTATTAATTAGATCATTATCTAATAAATTAACTAGATAATTGTGTATGCTGCTATTAAAAAAAATAAAGTTGACACTCCGATAAGTTATAAGGGAAGATGTTAAAAGTAATTTAGAAATGCGAGAGAATAGGAGATGTAATTCCAGTAAGACAACCCATCATAATTTCTTGCAACGAATTATCTCTGGCTTAATTGAAAACTTATAGGTCAAATTATACATTTTTTAACAAAAGGTACTGTTAAGGTCTTTTGTTTGTTTGTAGTTTTAGTTTTAATTATACTCGACATAAGCGTAATTTGAACAAAATACTTGAGGGGGTCTACTTTAAATTTTCTCCATCTTAAAAATATTTCTATATAAATTATCTACATGTAATTTTCATAGTTTTTTGGGAGAGTTGTGACAGAATTTAGGAAGATAGGCCCTTACTACATCCGCCACACTGTATCTTTGATTATTGAGTTAATATATTCTCTGCATTTTGTTCCTATCACATGTATTCTACAGGGTAGCTCCCACCCGGACATCCGAACGGGAAGCTATTTTACGTACGGACATAATTTTTACACTTCAATCCATTTTAGAAGACAAAATAGAAGTTGCCTAACTAGGGATGTTAAAGTGGTCGTTTCCCCATGCCTTCCACATCACAGCCCAAACCCTATTTCTATGGATTGGTGGCTAAGTGTAGATAACCTTGTTCATCTACACTTAATACAAGAAGCGCTGCTGCTCCCCACTCCTAGGTCTATTTTAGTCGGTTCTTACTACAGGCATGGACTACTGAGGATGTATTCTAACCCCCACTCACAGGGGAAGAGTTAATATATAATGTTTCATATTTTCTATAAAAATTTCGAGAGCTTTATTGGTTACAAAACATGTAACTTTCAACTATAGTCATAAAAAATTGTAAAAATAATTAATATTTCATATTAATTTTAAAAATGAACTTTCAACTAGTGTAAGATCGCGATAGGCCATTAATTATATTAAAACCAAAAATATCAAACTGAATTGTATATTATTGTCTATGTTTTTTTAATATCTACTAACTTTTTATTACCTTAAATAAAATTCCATTCGACCACTACTAGGCATCCGGGGCCATTGCCCCTTCCCCACTACTAATGAAAAGAAATCATTTGCCGCATAATACCTGTACTCTTGCGGCCTTCCCGTCTTATGAAATGGATGACTAGGAAACATTTCTTTTAGAATTTCATTAAATCTAATATATTAATTTACGCTATAACTCGTTATGTGAATTAATTATGAACAGTAAATGTAAATTAAAATACATTTTCTGCGTAAACAAAATATATAGATTATTTTGGTGATACAATTTTATTTGATATTAAATAAAAAATAAAAACTTATTAAAATATATTTTCAGTAAATATAATATACGAAATTAACAGATTTAACATCAACGCTAATTGTAACTTATTAAAAACATTGCTCTTTTTTCATTAAATAACGTAGCCCATCATAATAGTACAACAAAAAGTTGTTTTTCTTTTTTATACATTTTTTATCATGTTTACAGAACTGCGTAAATTTTTTCGAGCCTATCGATCGGTTTTCCACGAGCACACATTTTTAGTGACCTAAATAAATTTTCTGTCGGAACCCGGAAAAAGGCGTGTGCCGCCCTGAAATTTCCGTAGCAACTGTTAGGAAGAGGGTAGAGGAGGGTCGGACGAGGAACCGCCGGTCTTGATACGACGGACTTAATATTTTTTCACGTTTTCATAATAATAGAATTATACAAACGGTTGAAAAAGTAACAACAACAATAACAAACTAGGAGGTGTACGGTACGATGACCCACGTTGTCCGTATGTGAATGATCTCAACCCCTCCTTCCCCTTCTACTCCTATTAAATTGATCTTATTGTAACTGTTACTATAACTATTTAATGGCTTAGTACACACAATAATATAAAATTTCCATATTGTAGTGTGACGTTTATGCAATGAACAAAATAATTTTCAAACGTCATTCCTAATGGAGATACCGCATTCATCGTGAAAAAAAGGCCGTGTTATTGATACTATCATCATAAAATTATTAACAATATTACTATAGAATTTAAGTAATGATTTATTTCACATACGCACTCTAACACGTCGATCGTTGAAGTATTTTTAGTGTACAACAATCCAAGCGCATAGTGTTGATAATTAAATATATAAAATAAGGTGACTAATAAACAAGCATCCAAAAACATATAAACGCCCTGAGTTTTTGGCCGAGGATATTCAATACTAATAAGGTCGACTGCGTGTCTGAAGTATCATAGTGGGGACAAGGAAATGATGGCGGTGGAATAGGAGGAATTGCGGGCGCCCCGAAGACGGGAGAGAGGGAATTAGTGAGTAGTCGCCTAAAAATCCGAGCGGTACAAAAAAAATACAAAATTTGTAAAATAACCCCCTCTCGTTAAAAAAACGTGTACGGTAATTATTGTATGGGGCCATTTCTACGGTAATTCCGTTGGCGAAGGTACCCCACTACCCGTCCACACCTGTACCAATACTGGTGCACCTGTGTGCGACCGTCCGCTCTCCCTCCTTAATCCCCACCTATTGCACCCAAAACGCGTATCAGGGCAAAAAAAAACCTAACGACGGCTAAGAAGCGGTGGCGGCATTGATGGCAGTGAATGAATTTTTTTTATTATTATTATTATCGACACACTGGATTTTTACGGAACGGAATTTTCCCCTCTCGACCTTTTCAGTTTTTTTTTTATACGTGTATATTTTTTATTTTTAATAACGTTCCCCTAGTAGTAGTAGTCGTCGTCGGCGGGTAACGCGCGTGTGTCGACACACTGAGTTTAATGTACGCGTCCGCTGATAATAACACACGCATACACACAACATCTATCGTATTGTCGTTACTCGTTGCCGCCGCCACCGCTACAGTCGTTCCTGATGTCGTAGTGTTACTGCCGCTGTATTGTTATTGTTGTTATTTTCGTCGTCAATACATAGACCACAATTTTTTTTTTTTTTTTTTTTGTGCGTACGCGTTTATGCAGTAGAGTGCAGTGCTATGCGTGTAATTAATTTCTGTTCCATACTTTTAAATTGTGTACATTTTTTCAACAAACATAAATTACAATGTCGTGGGTATTGTGTTTGCGGTGCGTTTCGTTACGATACGCGCGTATATTGAACGCGACCGCCGCCGGTTAGTAGGGTACCCTTTGGCGGCTCTAATATTGATTTTTACTGTGAGTAATTTGATTCACTTCCCGATAATACAGTGAATTTTGTTGTTGTCCACCGTGGTCGTGGAGGATGGTTGTGATGATAAGGATTACCTAGTCGCAGGGTATTATTTGTTTAGACGCCGAAGTACTGAATGACTTTTTAAGTTGAACTTATTTGACCATATAATTTGAAAAATTATGGACCGGCAAAAAAATTTTAACGGGGTAAAAACTCTTTGTCTCTATCTACTTCCACCCACGCCCACCGCCTCATGTACTACAACAATATTAATATTATTATACCTCTACACATTTAATAACACATATGTCTGGAAACAATGTGTGCCAGGATGAGGCAGTGTAAACAAACGAAAGACGCAAAATTATGAATAAAGGAAATCGATTCGGCGGGCGGCACGCAGCAAGGCAAGGCAGCGGTAGCAGTAAACAAACGAAAAAAAAAACAACATCGAGTTAAAAATTTTTCCGCCTGGAAACCAAAATGAACGAATGAACGTGCGCGCCTCCACTGTTTTCGACCGTAGCAATAACGCTCGTCCATCTTCGTCGACCCTCGAAAAAGTTTTTTAAGTACTTTTTTCAATTTTTAAATTATATTTGCCTATGTTATGGAGGAGAGCAGCCGTGCTTTATTGGAAGTCAAATGCCTGAATTTATTTATATTCATTTATGTTTTGCTGATTATTGGTCGATAACAGGTAAACAAAATATTATTGTTATTGTTTAGTATTTTTTTAGTAGCATTATCTAATAATCTTACTCAAAGAGTACTAGATAAATTCTCCCCTTCAATGTTTTATTTTTAGTAATAAAAGGTGCGATTTGTTATTAATGTCAAAAATCAGTCTGATAATGACCATTATTCATATATTCAATGGCCATTTAACAATTTTTATTTAAATTTAAAAGATATAAAGATACATTGTTTTATTTATAACTTATGTATTTGTAAATGAGTTACAAATGATGGAAATAAAATTATAATAGAAATTCAATTATTGACCTATAATATTATTTGATATTAGTGTTGGGTACATATTTTTACAGTGTTAATATTGACAAACTTGAATAAACAGACTTTTTAAGTGTAATTTTTTAGTTATCAATAAATTTTTAAATAAGTACCTTCATTTTTCATTAGTATCAACTAAACTTCATTTTTTAACTTTCACTAAGTAGTTAACAACAGTCACTAATATTTTTTTATATCAATTTATCTTATCAGATAATTGGGGAAATATTTAAATTTATATTTTTCTTATTGTTTAATAATTTTTATTTTTTTTTTTTGAAAGCATGAATTAATTTGAATTTTATAGCTACAAATACTAATGATTGAAAACGAAAAGTTCAAACTTCAGATACTCAACTTATTAGTATATATTTTGATGTTAATAAAATAAAAATATAAACAATAGTAACCAAGACTAGCCATTAATGCGTTAAAAGTTAATTTTATTAAGTTTGGTAACTATACATTTTTGGTGGGCTTAACTTTTTTAACCCCAATAACATTATATACAAGTACATTATATCAGTGTAAAAATAAAAAATTTTCCTAGTCAATTTTAATTTAACTAAGTTAAAAAATATATAATTATATAAATTAGTTTTTAACTTAAAATAGTACTTTAAAGATTAACATAACTTTAAAAAGTTTTGAACAAAAGTGTTAACTTACCCAGCCTTAAATGATAAATATTTAAACTCAAGCTGAAACATATGAGTTTACCAATGTTTTACGTAATGATTGAAGCCAGGAGTTATATGCATTTATTAATTTTATCAAGTTATTCTGTATACGCCATCAGCCAGTACAAATTTTTATTAGTTCATTTGAAAAATTAGTTATGTGTTGTTACCAGGGTTATAGTTTTGGGTAGGATTAGGGGTTAATCCCCTATAAAAAGAAAAATATTTCTATGTTATTATAATATGATACAGTCATAGGATTACATTATAGCTAAGTACAGAATTTTATTCTTTTGAGTATTTTTTTGGAATACTCACAGAAAAACAGGATATTAAAAAAAAAAGTCATTTTTACAAAATAATTTGAAAATTTTAAGTTTATTTTATTTTATTCAAATTTACAGAATGATTCTATTTTGATAAGACACTCATTTTCACAAAAACTTCTGAGATAAATTTTTGTAAAAAGAAATATATTAGATTTAGAAACTCTACAATAAAACTTAACTAAATTTTTTTTCATACCTTCAGGATTTCAGGTGAAATGGTAAATATGCATTTAAAGAATATTCTTCCGACCTTTAATTATAATCCAATAACAAAATTGTAAAAACTTAAGACCCTTCAAAGTGGCACAAACAAATTTTGTAGATGCATATAATTCTTAGTCCTAGTAATGATCTTCAGTACATGAATAATTAGACTCATCTAAATTTCTTAATTATTTTAGTTATGTTATGTTACTGTAATGAATTCGCCTTAGAATTGTATGCTAGATAAATAAAATATATGTTTGATGAAGCTCTAATCCTTCTTTTTTTAATTAAATACTAAATTTTAAATGCATTATATTATTACAATATTAATACTTCAACGATAGTTAAAATTAACCTGTCAGTTAAAAACTATATTCTACATTTAAAGCATATATTTTATTCTTAAAAAAAAAATTTATATTGAAACTATTAAAATGTTTTAATGGTTCTCAAAATATCAATAGAACTAAAAATATATAGCTGTTGTTGTTAGAAATTTCATTTTAAATTAGTTATATATCATTATTCCGTATTAAAAAAAAATGTTTTAACCTAAAATATTAAATAAAACAATGAATGTTAAATATTTATTAATGGAAAAAATCAAATTCATTTACTATAAAATTCAAAACATTTTTAAAGTTATTTAATTTAAAAAATAAATTATGTTATAGTTTTACAAATAGTAAACTTAAATTGAAAAATTAAAATATTGAATATTTTCTTGCATTTATTATTGTATTGTACTTTTAATCTAAAAAATGTATGTATATTTTAGGTTTAATTATTACACTATAATCAAATATCAATGTATGTTTTCAACATTAAAATCAAAAATTAAATCTTTAAGAAGATTTTATTTGGGTAAGTTTAAATTATATTAGATAAGAGTATTAAATATAAAAAATTTAAGTGTAATTTTGAAAAACTGTGTTTTACAGCTAATAATAAATGTGAATTATTATTTCTTTTTGAAATGTCATCCAATAAATTACTAAAATTGTGCTTTAGATTCTCATTTCATTATAAATTATTAAAATAATGTATTATAAAAAATTACAACCGAGTTAAAGATAAAAATAAAAATTAATTAGATGAAATTCAGAAGAATGCAATGAAAATGAACTGAAATCACCATATGACCCTATTCAATCATATTTAAAGGACTTAATAATTTGGATACAATAATTTCTTACCTTATTTTATTACTGTTTAATTTTTTCAAGGTATTTTAAAAATAATTTTATAGAAAGAATTTTTAAATTTTATAATGTTGTATATAATTTGATTCTATAATATTAATGATAAATCTGTTTAAACCCTTATAATATAAAAAGAAATTAATTTATTGAAAAGAAATAGCAATTTTAAACTTAAAAAAAATGTATTAATTTAACTTACCCTTAATAAACTGTTTTTATCTAATTCTTTCATTTATATTTAAATAAATGTTATATTTTTTTATTTTATTATATTTTACAAAATAGTAACAATTTAGGATTATGCTAAATTAATTACTCATGTTTCTTTAAAGTGTATCTATAATTTTTTGATAAGCCAAATGGATTTAGTTGTACAGGTAATATTGAAGTTGTTTTTTACCAGATATGTATTATTTAAATACAAAAAAAAAACTAAATTTAAGTTGTCTATAAAATAATCATTTTTATGTTTTCAATGATTCATGAAAAATGAAAATGACTAATGTTTTTCTTTAAGATTTTTAAGCAAAATAAAACTTTCCATGTATTAAAAACCAAATTTGTATACAATAGTGAGTATTCTATTGCAATAGTAATTGATAAATTTAAAGTAAATATCCCCTACTGTTATTTTCCTTGGCTTTAAGAGTAAATTGAATCATAACCAACTAACATAAAATAATGTAATTTTTTTTAATAATAACTAATCATTTTTTAAATATAAATTCCACATATTTTTGAAAACTGCATCCTTACAGTTTTCTTAAAAATGTGATTTTCTTTGCTTAATAATAACCAAAGCAGTTGGGTGGTTTTGTAGGCAATAATGCTTAATATTAACATATTTCTATTGGTGTTTTAATTCATATAAATAAACCTAGGTGTTGGAATAAAATAAAATCTTTCATCCTTAACAGCTATTTATATTTTTCTATAATATGCTATGTTCTTTAAAATTCAATATATATATATCTTATAGGTTTTGGGTACATTTAATAATATTATTGTACTCCATTTTATAAACTTTTTCTGTATATTTATAGCTGAGCTGATAGACTACCAGAGACGCTTGATACTTACAGAGTATTATAAATTTACTGGTCTACATACAAAAGAATGGTTGTCTCATGATGGAGAAGAAATACCAGGGTTATTTCCTCATCTTCTAGATCCAGGTGCTATAACAATACGAACAACACCTAGTAGTGGTTCTACTGGTAAACGTATGAGAAATTCATCTAATCGGTCTCCTGATGAAGCCCGCTGGGTATGTCCAACTTGTGGTAAACGATATAAGTATAGTCGTGGATTGGCAATGCATAGGCGGTTAGAGTGTGGAAAAGAACCTATGTTTCATTGTCCATTTTGTCCTCAAAAATGCCATCAAAAAGGTAATATGGTTATACACATAAAAAAGAAACATCCAACTCAATATGAAGAACAATCACAGGCTGTTGTCCAAGCTCATGTCAAAGCAGAACAAGTTCTTGTAAAAGCTGAACAAACACAAAGTGAATGAAAACATAGTTTTCTTTTCAGTATTTTTTTCTTTGACTCATGGTACTACTTAATTAGATAGATTTTAATTGGTTTTATATTTGTATATTATATTATTATATATATTTTTATATATAAATGGACATAAAAAATTAGATCATGTCATATAGATACCCTCACCAAAATAATTAAGTTAAATATGCTATTGATTTTTATGTTAAAGAGTTTCCTAAGGTTATAGTAAACTATGTTATAAGTTTATATATATATAAACTTAAACTCAGTTTCTATGACTTTCAAATATTTTGAAATGAGCTTGTAAGTTATTGTTATGTTAATTTATATATATGAGTATATACTTTTTTCACAAACAGTTTTTATCTACCTCTTATTTTAAGTCCATATCTTGCACATTTCCTTTAAACTCTCATATATTTTTTTTAAGGCTTTTACCGTTACCTATTTGATATTTAGCTGTAATTAAAATTACTCCTCACCGTTTGCAATATCTGTGCAATGCATATTATAATTTTATTCTTATGATTTTTAAGAAATTTGCTTGTAAATATGCAATAATTTTTTTGTTAATTTTTTAAATTATTATTTATTATTATTTACAAGGTATAAAATTTGTATGTTTAAGGTATTTTTTTATAGGAAAGTATTAAATGAATTAATAGTATTAGTGAACCAAAATAATTAAATTGAGTCCTCCAAGTGATAATTATAAATTTATAGAACAATCTGAGATTTTATTTTAATCTCGTTCCCGTCCCTATGCCCAAAACATGGTTATATTTAACAAAATTTTATTTATGTATTAACTTTAATTACTGTTGTGTAATTATTAAATTTTTTATTATAAAATTGTTGGTGATTAAGTTTCTACTTAAAAAGAAAAAATAATATTTATTTGTAACAGTATTAAGAAATAAATCATGTTTATTTTTTCTTGTATTATATTAACAACCCAAAGTATTATGGATTAGTTTATTAAATAATTATTTTATTTTTACAAAAAATTTATTAACTTAAAAAAAATATATTGGCCCATAAAAGTGTGTATTACTTTATTGGTTTAATTTATATATAATTGTACTTAAAAATAAAAAAAATTATTGTTTTGACTAAAATTCAAATTTTACATCTAAAATTATTTCGTTACATTACTTAATATTTGTAAATATATTTATAAATTGTTATATAAATTTTATCTATTTTGTTCATTTATTAAATCTACAGATTCCTCTTTATTTTTATTTTTTTTTTTATTCTTTATATTATTTACTAATTAGTGTTTATTTTTTCAGATGATTATCTTCAATAACAAAATACAAAAATGATTATATGAACTACAAACAAAAGAACTCGAATCAAAATATTTATGTTATTCAATGAAAATGTTATATGTTAATTTATCTAAATTTTTTAAAATTAGTTTCCTCCTTTTTATTTAATTAAATTATATGGAACAATTATAAATTATCAATTTAAATATTTTGAAAGAAAGAAGACTGCATCTAAAAATGAGTTACTGGTTTTATGTTAATTCTACAAGTTAAAAATAATTTATTTTTTCTACAGATTTTTTCAGCATAATTAATTTTTTATGATAAAAATTACTTTAAAACTAAATTATTTTTGTAGTTAATATATATTTAAAAATCATAGTTTGATATTAAATTAGTTATTGATATATTTAGTAGGGATTAAATATTGTATTTATTACATTGCTACTTGAATAAGTCTTTTAGTTAGATTCTATGTTGTAATAATTATTTGAACTGCTTATACTTTGTGCACACTCTTGTTTTTCACCAGAGCATGTTTTGCTTTATCTACTTTGGTAATTCTCTTTTACTCATGAATTGGTGGATGTACTTACAGGCGATGGAATGGCTACAATCACAGCAACCCGTTGTGTAGTGAATAATCATTTGACTAATTTCAATTATCATCATTTATCAAGTGTTATTAAGTATCTGAATAATCAGCAACAACATCAAAAAACGTGGACAACCAATAATGCATTGTCAATATCTCAGAGGTATTTTGAAAAAATATCGCCAGCAACAGCTGGAATACCAGCTCTTGTTAATCAAAATTTCTATGATATGCAGGTATGTATTATTGTTAGAGATTTTATAAATCCTGGTTTTTGGGAACCAACCGAACCCAAACAAAACTTCCAATTTTTAGTCAAACCAAATAATCTAAATATTTAATGTTATTCAAATTTTTTTATATCATTCAATAAATTCAGCATTATATTTGATTTTCAAACTAATTTATAGAGTAAAAGTTTTGGTTGGGTTTGTTTTGAAAATTTAATAACACTTAAAAAAGTAATAAAATTATATATTATTTTTATATAGGATACACATTTTTTCAGTTAAATTTATAAAATAAAAATATAAATTATTTAAAATGTAAACATTTAATTAATAATATGGAATAATTCAGATAATTTAACAGTATATCTGACCTCAGTAGTGAAGTGCATTTAAAATTTTTTTTATTTTGGGAATTATATATTTAAAATGTTTCTATGACTCAAAAAAATTCATTTAATGAGATTTTTTTGAAAGAATTCTTTTGTCAAAATAAATAAATAAAAGGTTAACTACTCCTAAAGTATGCTTCTTAAAAATTTCTGTCTAAAATTATTACCCTATTGAGTTAGAAATTGGATTGTTCTATATCTGAAAATGCCTTAATTACAGCTATTTGGTATTAAACATTTAACTAGTATAGCTGCCTAAATCTTATTATTTTAAGTACAAATCCAATATAATAATATACAATATATTGATCATATTTCAAAAAATAGTATTGGACCAATATCCAAGCCCTACATTTTTTCAAAAGTTATTAAATTTATCATATTTTTATTATTTACTTTGTATAATAATAATGATGGATCACCTTTGATAATTAATGAGGAAAGTGTCAAATTATCATAGAGCATTATTATTGAGATTCGCCTGTATTAGATACTTAATGATTGACATAAACAATAAAGTAATAAATAAATAGTTAAAGGAAAAATATAATGATTACTTAATCTTTTATTTTATTTTGTTGTTAAAAGGATTTTTCTAAGCAAAAGTTATTAACAAATCATAAGAAATATACATGCTCTAGTAATAAAGTAATGTTCTAATTTTCACTATCGAGGTAATGATGTCTTTATTAACGAGTGAGAGTACATTAGGTGCAAAGTCATTGTATCATTTAAATAAATACACATTAACAGCCTACTAGTTCTACTACCCTCACTAGATTGGCTTCTGTTGTACATTCTGATCTACTGATAAGNTCACTACTCACTAGATTGGCTTCTGTTGTACATTCTGATCTACTGATAAGTGAAGCAATTTTGTTTATAAAAATTATCATTTCTGGTTTTGATTGTATTAAAAAAATAGAAAATAGTTATTAAAAATATACCTATGATATAATAATCTTGGTAACTTAATTCAAATCTTTTATAATCATATTTAAAATATTAAAAACTTAATAATAAATTTTTATTAGGACTCTGGATCAGATGCATCAGGTCATGATGGTTATGGAAGGCATAGAAGACATAATAGAGATAAGGAACCTATTTTTCAATGTCCAGACTGTGAAAAGAGATACCGTTCTAAAACAAGCTTGAGCTTGCATAAACGTTTAGAATGTGGTAAGGAACCTGCATTCCAATGTCCGTATTGCCCGCTCAAAACTCACCAGAAAGGTAATCTACAAGTACATATAAAAAAGAAACATAATGACCATGGAGAACTGAATAGGACTTACTAAAATAATTTTTAAAAAATTACTTGTATAACTATAACTTCATAAGTAGATTAGTAGTGCCAAACTCTTTGAGTTATCAATTATTTATTATTAATACTACATTAAGTAAAATAGAAAAAAAGTCCCTGTAAGTGTAATTTAAATTTCAAATGCTCCACCACTATGTCTATCCATTAGGTTATCTGATAATTTATTTATATTAATGATATGGTTACTTGGATTTTAAAATATCCTTGTTTACTACTTTCACTTCTCATGTGCCCCATTTGAATTAAAAATTGACTGGAATAATAACCAATATATGACTGATAGTATTCTATATCTTAGTGATAATTTAGATAAATATTCTCGAAAATTATATGTATTTATGTTGGATCTAATATTAAACACTGATTACAAACACTCAGGGTGACACCGTGTACAATTATAATGGTGACTAAGTACATTTTAAAATGAAAAAAAGCTTGCTCATAGATACTACACTCAAGTGTTGTTAAAAGTTTCTAATGGCAACACATATTAGACAAAATCTTTATTTATTTATTTTTTATTCCTTTATTAAATGACTGAATAAATGTTAAATTAGAAGAATGATTATTATATTTATATCAATTTTAATTAAGTTCATTGTTCCGTATAGTGTAATAGATTAATATTTTCAATAAAACTGTTTAATTCAGTACAAAATAAAATGAAGGTAAAATCAAATCAATTCGATGCAAAAAAAATTCAGTAATTAAAAAAAATTCAGTACAAAATTATGTGTTCATTAATATAATTTAAGATAGCTGTTAAGAATAAAATATTTTTTATTAATTTTATTTTTTAATTAATGTATGGATCAATTGAAAACAAGTTTACATGACCATAGTTTTCAATAAACATATAAAATTACCCACCCCTATATTACTTTTGTAATTATTGACTTTTTTTTATTATTATTATCGATGACATTGGTGTTCCTTTGCCGTCCAATTTTATTCATAACTGATAAGTAATATTATAGTCTGTATTAAAGTTCCCAAAGTACAAATTTTACAATGAAAAGTAATTTTACTTGTTTTATTTACAATTGTATATTTTTCAAATGTTTCTTTTATAATTTTAATATCTTTTCTAATTAGTATTTTGATCTTAACTACATATGTGCCTTAGTATTAGCTTATTTTATTCCAAAATAAGCTCTTTAATACTCATTCAGTTTCTAAATATTTAAAATAAACTTCATGTTTTTAAAGCTCAAAGTAGTTTGGTACTAATTTAGATTATCTCTTTATCAACAAGATATAAAACAATCCAAAGAACTAAACATTTGTTTTATTTGATTTTATAACTGCAATATTGCTCTCTTACCGAACGATCTCTTTGTCTCTATTTAATTAAGCGCTTTGTTTTTTTTTTTTAATGTGCAGCAACACTTATGATAGAAATAGTAAAAAATAATTTTTTAAATTACATATACATAGTAATTATACTAGTGTAAATTAGTATACCACCTTGATAAAATAATTTAAACAGACTAATTTAGAAATAAATCCATATTAAACTCTTTGTAATAAATATATATATATATATATTTCTTGACCAAATTATATTAAATATAATAATTATTAAATGCATGGTTTACATATTAAAATACAAACAATAATTAAGTATGTGTCTGCATCAATAATTATGTAACTTTCTACATATTTAAATAGCTATCCATAAAGTGCAATTGTTTTTCCTAATTATATATATATTTATTTGTATGTTTTTCTGTCTTGTTCCTATTATATAAAACTATTGTGTAAAACATTTATACAAACATGATATTTCTTTTAATACATAAAACAAGTTAATGTATTTATCTAATTTATTTACTAACTTTAAAGCAACATAAATTTATAGATTATATTTTCTTGATTTTTATTATTTATTTATTTCTATTCATTTTTTTGTTTCAAAATTATTATTATAATTATTAGTGTACATCACCTTTATTGCATTAGTTAATAAGACATTCAAGACTTAATCTAAAATTGAAGTACAAATTTACTATCAGGAATTTTTTAATGAAATATTCATAAAAATTCAAAATAATTCTTAAATAAAAGTCTTTATAAATTATATCTTTGTAATCATAAGTTGAATATTATTTATTGGCAATATTGTTCCTAAAACTTTAAATATTATATTTATATTCCTATTATTTAGGAATGGGAGAGAAGTGAGGTCTAAAAACAATGTTATTCTGTAATATGTATTTGCTCATGATTAATATGTATGCTTATGAAGATAAATATTTTATGTTGACATTCATTTTTGGCTAGTTCAATAGTGTTAAGAAAACAATTTAAAATTATTATATAATTTATTATTTAAAGTAGCTTAACATGAGACTTAGACAAAATGCAATAATTTAACACATTAATTTTATCATAATATAATGGTGAATTTCAAGTATTAAACATTAAAATTAATGTATTTCAACGTTTTTTAGCGATAATTAAATATCTATATTTTCGACATAAATTCACTATTTTTAATATTTAATTACAGTTTAAATTATAAATTGAAAGTACAAAAGAATTCTAAATTATAATACTTATACTGTAGCTTTAGCACAAATGAATTATGAAGCATGTATAGTGGAAGTAAGCAAATTCACAAAAAATAAGAGTAATTATTTATTGTGCCCCTACCTTAATATCATAACATGTAATGGGTCAATACATTATTGATATTTATTTATTTATTTATTTTTTTTTTTTTTTTTTTTTACATAGTTCCTATTTTTTAGAAAAAACTATGCATTTTATGTAATATTTTATTTTTAATTATAAACATCGTGTTCATTATTCTTATAAAACAAAAATAATAGTTGTTTTCAAACAAATTATGTAAATCATGATGTACCTGATTTTTGCATTTATAATATGTATTTATCACAATTACTTACACATTTCCTAAATAAATTTCTATTTTGTAACTAAGTAATATTATTGTATTATAATAATAAAACTAATAACAAAAGAGCAAAATTTTAATATTAATAAACCAAATGTACTATATATTTTTTGTTTGTTAAAGCACACAAACACACGTGTGGAGCAGTATTATTGATTTATTTAATTCCTTCATTGTACTTTTTTAACTTAATTTTATTTTGTTTCGTGAATTATAATTTTTAATTTATATAAATATGAGAACAAATATTATTTATTTAGTAATAATGTGTATATGTTTTATGCACTATACTTAGATGCTTAGTTTTTATAAAACATTATAGTAGTAAAAATAATATACTTTGTAATTAAACAAATTAAAAAAACATATATATATATTTAAATATGTATGTAAATAAATATAATAGTTTTTGATTAACACTATTTATGGAGTATTTTAATCCCTACAAAAATTCTCTTCTAGTTTTATTTAGATAAAACTAATCTATAGAAAATATAAAAGCCTATTATATTGTATTGTATTTACTGAGCTTATTATACTAGAGTAAGTCTTTTTTGTACTATTGATATTTAATTTTTTACAACAATTGTAAAAAAAGTTTTAAATAATAATTATTTGTGACTTTTTCAAGTAAATCATTATAAACTTATAATTATAAATTATGTTATCATAATCATAATAATAATAATAATCAATTATTTAATTATAGTTTTCTCGTGCCCTTAGAAAATTTTGTAGTTAATATAATAATATATAATAGCCATAGAAATGTCCGGAGATTAAAATAGCACCTGCGACTAGCCTCTAGTCAATATTTTAAATTCATAACCTCCATAATATTGGTCCAGAAATTGTTATTGAAAGTTATTTTTACTTTAAGGGATAAATATAAAAAATATTTGATAATAGATACATTTATAAGTAACTAATGTAAACAAAATAATGTATTATTTTAAGAAAAATCGAGTGGCTGGCGTTAATAGAATTCTGTAAATATAACAATATACATGATTTTTTAATATTTTTTTGGGTACCTAATTCGTTAACAAAAGGGACTACGCTCCATGCTACCCTTGTTTCGCCTATGGCAAATCCTCCATAAAATTTTTAAAAAAATATTTGCAGACTTGCTACATTCCATATTATTTAATAATAGTATATTTTATAAAATATATTTATTAAAGTTTTAAATTTGTATTAAACATAATAAAATCCAAATTTAAAAAAATGAAATTTAATTCTAATTATTCGAATAAATAAAAAACCAAACCCAGCACAGGTTGGTCGACGCATAGTGGTGACGTGAATAGTTGGATCAAGTATTATGATATCTGACAGTGATTAAAATCACTATAAAAAAAAACGCTTCGATGCAAATCTTTAGTGTTAATTTTTAAAACATTGGTGGATTATTCCAAAAGCTACATGATCTGCCATTTCCTTATTAATATCCTGATTAAGATAAAGTATGTCGAATGTAAACGGGATTATTAAAAATATTATTTCTCATAAAAAAATTGTGTTGATCCATACACTTTTCAAAAAGTTATACCATTATAAAGTTAAAAAAGTCCGAAATTTTTTTTCCATAATAAAATACATTACATTAGCTTTAATTTAAGATATCTATAAAAGTGTCAGACCTTCCGGAACATTTTCAAAAGTCAAGTTGAAAAAGTAAATTTTTGTGAAAAAGTTGTAATTTTAAAACGCCCCCTGTGAGCAGATAAAGGGTTAAATTTATAAAAAAATTATACCAAATGATAGGTAATGACATCAAGCATCTGTAAAAAAAAATTATATTGATTTGTTCATTTTCCAAAAAGTTATAGCATTATAAAGTTAAAAATATAAAAAAAATTTTTTACAAAAATCGTATTTTTTTCATTAACTTTGATGTCTGTTTTCACCGTGAAGACAAAATAAAGTGCGAAATTTTTTTTTTCGTAATAAAGTTTATTACATTTGCTTTAATTTAAGATATATATAAAAATGTTAGACTTTCCGGAACACTTTCAAAAGTTAAGTTAAAAAAGTTCTACTTTCTAAGTGCATTTTTCAGATTTGACCCCCCCCCCCGTATATAGGGAAATGGTCTAATTTTAAAAAAAAGTATATCGAATGAAAGATGTATATAAATACTACTTCTCATGAAAAAATTGTATTGATTCATACATTTTTTAAAAAGTTATACCATTTTAAAATAAAAAATGTAAAATATAAAATCAAGAATTTTCACACTAAAATAGTGTCCGGTAACCATTTTCACCACGAAGACAAGTCTAGGGTCAAATTTTTTTTTCCATAATAAAGTACATTACATTTTCTTTAATTTAAGATATATATATAAAAGAGTCAGACCTTCCGGAACACTTCCAAAAGTTGTCATTATGAATCCTCCCTTGTGGGCAGGTAAAGGGTCAAATTTATAAAAAGAAAATATATCAAATAATAGATAATGACATCAAGGATCTATAAAAAAAAAATTATATTAATTTGTTCATTTATGAAAATGTTATGGGAATTTTAAGTAAAAAAATTAGGGATTAAATTTGTAATTTTTTTGGAGATTTCCCCCATCTACGGGGAACGAGGGAAATTTTTTCAATTTTTGAGTGTATTATCTTCGACTAAATACAATTTGTGATCTTTTGACGTATCGTTGAAAGAAATCGGTTCGATGAGAGCTGAGAAAAGTGGTAACAGACACAAAAAAGAAAAAAAAACACATCATAGTAAAACTAATGCCTTATCAGCTTCGCATCGGAGCTAATATAAGTATATTTGACAGACAAAAATATTGTATAAGTTGATAAAATAAACATTTAGTTGACTAAAAGCTACTTTTAAACGAGGTAATAATTATATTTTGATTAAGTCCTCAAGCGGTCTAATTTAAATTTACGTTTTTCGATGTAATGTATTTTAGGGTTTCCGCGAAAATAATTGTATCTAAGACATTATCAAGCCTTAATCATTTTACTTTTTTTTTTATTATGCAAGTTTTAAATGCTTTTGAACGTTGTAATATTTATTATATCATTTCTTGTTAATTCATTTTTACTCTACAACTGTGCACATGAGATACGTAAATTTAATTATGAGACATAGTGTGCCTAGTTGACTGATGTAATTAAATAGAAGAGTATGAAATTGAGATATGTATTGTAATTAACATTATTATTTAATAAACATTTAACATACACTAGTTAACATTTTACCAACTATAATCTATAGATTTATTATAAATGTTTGCATAACTACTAATTGTATAATAAAATAAAAATTTTTTTTTCAAATCAATCAAATATTAAAATAATGAAAAATTAAGATTTAATTATTAATAATTGCTACGGCCCTAGCATCTTTTAATACTCGGCAAAATGACAGACTGCTTTTCGTAGATACAATTATCACTGGCCCTGGTTAATGACTGAGAATGCTTATTTTAATTATATCATCTATTATAGTTCCCCAAGGTTTATCATTTAGATACTGTGAAATCATTAGCTAGTTTAATTTCAGTTGTGTACGTACAAATAAATGTATGAAGAATACAGAAATAAAAAAGAGGTCGTAGCAATTTTTTTTTTATTATTTTATTGTATATTTCTAAGCCACTTAGAAGTAATAGAAAGAAATGAAAATATTATAAAATCTACCACTAGTCTTTCTCTCCCCTACATTTATCATATATACAAAAACTAACATATATCATATATAAAAAATTTTACTATCATAAAAAATCTTACTATCATAGTAAGAAGAATCGGCATTAGCTTTCCACTCCAAACCCCCATCAATAAAAAAAGTAATTAAGTAGACAACTATATAATATCTTAATATTTACATGGTAGGTATTATAGTTTACTGGTTTGTATATTTTATAAAAAATATGTGCAAAGTTAACTTTTAGTAATTGCAATTTAATTTTGATATTCATAACAAATTTTATAAAAGTTGAATTTTTATGAAATTTAAATAAACAAAATAAATAAGGAGTGCGAGTTTGCTTTATGTATAATTTATATTTAAACATAAATAGTTTTTGCCTTACACTTTTTTAATTTTAAGAATTCATATTAAAGCCAATGGAGAAACTCAATACGGATGCAGAGTTGCCAATTTAGTAAAAATTTCAATATAATTTATATAATTAAATTTATTTTTGTTTAATTTTACAATAACTACCATCTCTCCAGTGAATTACATTAATTCATATATTTACAATAACCATTTAAACGCATGAACTCAATTTCCGCACCAATTTTAAGGCTTTAAATTTAAATCACTAAGAAAATCAATTTTGACGTATTAAATTCAAAACAAAGATGTTACGTAACAGTAATAAACCTTGCAACACTTTTACAAAGTAAATTACTTGAAATAATGAATTGTATTGATAATTGTAAATTTATGTATTGGAGGTACTTCTAATAAAAATCGTAAGTCTTAAAAGAAATAGCAAAATTAATTTACCGTATATTAAAACATTTTTACGTGCGGTTATAATCATTGGTCACTTTATACCAGCGTTCATTAAAAAAAAATTTATCCTACACAAACCAAAATGTATAACAAAAAACAATTATTATTGAACAAGCTTTTCTTTCGAGTAAAATTTACCATCCTACACTTAAATTCATTAATTATTCTATAGTGAAATGAAGCAGACTAGTTTTTTTAACGCTGAATCGATTAGTTTGCTTCTTTAACTTACCTCTGTCAAAATTGTATTTTTTTATTAAGTTTACAGTAGAGCTCTTTATTGCAAATGTTGAAGTTGTAATATAAATGCTATAGGGGAGGATGTACTTGACTAAATGCCACATCAGATTTTAAAAAGTAAAATTGATATTAGGACTATATGTATAAGTATTACTAGTTTCGTACTTCAATATTCATATGTATTAGTTATAGGTATATTAAGGATCAATTGTAGCAGAAAAATTAATTTTATCATAAAAATTTAATTTACTATATATCCATTATTTAATTAGCCATGTTGATAACAGGTCATCAAAATTATTAAATAAGATACCCGGTATTAGGGACATTGCTGATTATTAAGTCTCGCACGCATAGTATTCTATAGCCCACATTAGTTAACAAATTTAAGAAATTACAGTAAACGACAGCCATTATTAATAGACCTATAATATTGGTACATCTGACAAGTTTGAATTTTTAGACATTACAGCCCAATATGAATTCCAGCCAGAAAATTTTTACCAATCTTACCCTGCATATTTATTAAAAATATAAAATTCTTGTGTCACAGCACGCCCAAAATCAATTAAAAATAATATTTAAATTACTAGATTTTCAGCTTTTGAGTTAACAAGTTGATTTTAATAAACTTTAGGAAATACCTACATAACACAATCGAAGCATCATCTTTAGTACAGAACCTGTCAGGTCAGTTAAACTAAACAATTTATAAAATTGTATCTCACCCACATTAGTAACATAAAAATTATGAAACTCACAAAAATACTAAAATATCCTAGTCGAACAGATATGACAAAGTTACATTAGATACATAAATAAGTTTTTTTTATAAAATGTCTTAGCCACACTTGAATAAAACATCAAGGACACTTTCCTAGTTTCTTGGTGCCATAAAAAAATGCTTGAAATATTTTTTTATGCAGTGGCTATTTTATGTATATAAATTTTCTTATAATATAAATTTTTCTCATACTTTTCTATTATTATTTTTTTTTAATTGAAAATAAATTATTCACAAGTCACAAGTTTTATTAAAAAGTTGATTGAATAATTATGATGAAATGAAATTTTAAAAATTAAATATATATGAAAAATATGAGAAAAATTATAAGAATTTAATTTAACTTACCGTAAGATATTTGGTTATTATACAATTATGTATGTAGATTGAAAATTTTAAATTTTCTATTATTAACCATAAAACTAACAATTTCATTCTTACTAAATTTATCTCCTTACTAATAAAAAACAACTGTGTACTATTCTTTCTTTTCCCATTTTCATCAATGTTAGCACATATTATCGAAAGGAAAAGGAATAAAGAAAACACAACTAAAAAAAATACAGAATTGGTCACCTTAGACCTTTATCTCCTTTTTTTTTTTTTTTTTTTTTTTTACCAAAGTCGCCAGCATTTAGTCTTAATTAGTATTAAGACTTAAATGGCAAATACTTAACTAATGGACTGTATAAATAAGACCTGCTAAAAATAAAAAATTAAACAAAGTTCTAAGAAGAACTTTTTAAACAAATATTCAAACATTTATAAATAACATTATAATTATATTAAAATCAAGAGATAGGATAATATTAAAATAAAAGACACTAAGGAAGAGAAAAAAGGTAGAGGTTCCCTATTTACCGATTACCTTATACTTACCTCATTGAATTCCATAAAATAACATATCTTCATGCAGTCTTCACACCATGTATTTCAAGTATTTGACAGTTGCCATTTCATAAATATTTATTAAGTATTTATTTTGTATAATACTTTATTACACAAACAAAAAAAAAACACTTGAAGACAAATTGATAACTTATGAACATGATAATAAGTTAAACAACTTTTTCCAATTTAACTACACCCAGTACCCCCTTCTCACTACAACCATCTACTCACATAACTAAAATAACCAAATCCCAATATCATTTAACTAAATATAAAAGAATGTAGAGATTGTGAGGGCGTACATTATGCAAAGATCTCTGTATATAAAAGAAAAAAAAATTTTAGGACCCACAGAACCTATAACAACACAAGCACAACCAAGTTCATGGGTCCAAAGAAAAAAAATCTGAAATATTTATTTTAATATTTTTAATAATATAATATTTTGTGTTGAAAATGAATCTTAGTTAATATATAATAATACAAAAGATTTGGTCAATCCACCACAAAAGAATAACTTACGAGCCTCCTTTCGCTCTAGTACAACTTTTGATGGATATGACCAAGATGCAAGAGGATTATTATCTAGGAAAATTAAACAGAGATCTTTGAAAGTTAGAAAAAAACTGATGTTAACTCACCATAGAAGTTAATTCCAATTGATTCCAGATGACCTAACTATACAAGAAGGTTTCTTCTTTAAGAGGTATTAGAGAATAAGACAATGAGGAATAGTGATTGCAAATTAATAGAAAAGTATTTACAAAACAAGATAAAAATAAATTATAAAAGTGGTTAGCAAATGATGTCCTACACCGCAGGTTACTAAAAAAACAGCCAAAAAGTGCCAAAAAAAAAAAAAAAAAA